TTTGCAAAAACAAACGCAAAACGCGAACCAGCATTCCAAAAAACAGTCAGTTCTCTCCCACCGTATCACAGATGCCTTCTCCAAGGCTGTCACCTAGCCTACGCCTACACTACACTACAACCTCTAAGGCGCCTCCCATCACGTCCAATAGTGTTACATGCATTCAGAGATGCCTTCCTCAAGGCTGTCACCTAGCCTGCGCCTACACTACAACCCATGCCACCTCTTATTCGCCAACATGGATGGCGACACCTTTCATTTTTGTACTCTTTCTCCAAGTCCAATGGCGCCTCCCTTCACGTCCAATCGTGTTACATGCATGCAGAGATGCCTTCTCCAAGGCTGTCACCTAGCCTGCGCATACACTGCAACCCATGCCACCTCTTATTCGCCAACAGGGATGGCGACACCTTTCATTTTTGTACTCTTTCGCCAAGTTCAATGGCGCCTCCCTTCACGTCAAATCGTGTTACATGCATGCAGAGATGCCTTCTCCAAGGCTGTGACCTAGCTTGCGCCTACACTGCACCTACACTTCAACCTCTAAGGCTCCTCCCATCACGTCCAATAGTGTTACATGCATTCAGAGATGCCTTCTCCAAGGCTGTCACCTAGCCTGGGCCTACACTGCAACCCATGCCACCTCTTATTCGCCAACAGGGATGGCGACACCTTTCATTTTTGTACTCTCTCACCAAGTCCAATGGCGCCTCCCTTCACGTCCAATCATGTTACATGCATGCAGAGATGCCTTCTCCAAGGCTGTCAACTAGCCTGCGCCTACACTACAACCCATGTCGCCTCTTATTCGCCAACAGGGATGGAGACACCTTTCATTTTTGTACTCTTTAGCCAAGTCCAATGGTGCCTCCCTTCACGTCCAATCGTGTTACATGCATGCAGAGATGCCTTCTCCAAGGCTGTCACCTAGTCTGCGTCTACATTGCAACCCATGCCACCTCTTATTCACCAACAGGGATGGTAATACCTTTCATTTTTGTACTCTTTCGCCAAGTCCAATGGTGCCTCCCTTCACGTCCAATCGTGTTACATGCATGCAGAGATGCCTTCTCCAAGGCTGTCACCTAGCCTGCGCCTACACTGCAACCTCTAAGGCGCCTCCCATCACGTCTAATAGTGTTACATGCATTTAGAGATGCCTTCTCCAAGGCTGGCACCTAGCCTGGGCCTACACTGCAACCCATGCCACCTCTTATTCGCCAACAGGGATGGCGACACCTTTCATTTTTGTACTCTTTCGCCAAGTCCAATGGCGCCTACCTTCACGTCCAATCGTGTTACATGCATGCAGAGATGCCTTCCCCAATGCTGCCACGTAGCCCGCACCTAAACTGCAAGAGTGACACTTATCATGCATGCATGCACCCACCTACCACCTCACTTACTCTATGATAAAATTTTGCCTATAAATATAGAGCCTTACATACTTCTCTCGCATCCACAATCGTCTCACTCTCTGCTACAAACTCTTTCATAATCTCTTACAATTTCAAACTCTTTCATAATCTCAGGCATTTTTAACAATGGCTCTTCTCACAATGAGCGATTCTCATAGAGGCACAAGGGACAACATTGAAGCATTTGTAAGTTTCTTTTATACTTATACATTTTTCATACTTCTAGTAATGCTTTATTCATCTTACCTACTCTTACACCTTTTACATTATTAACTTAGGATACTAAAAGATTCATAATCCGGTCACACAACTACCTTGCTCCCGACCCGTTGATCATACCCTATCTCGATTACGCATGTTTCAGAAACATTATAAAGATCTCCAACTGCACAATTGATTCAAAGTTCATACTTGCAATGTTGGAAAGGTGGAGACCAGAGACCCGTATATTTCATCTACTAATAGGTGAATGTACCGTCACACTAGAGGACGTGTATATGCTATTGGGTCTCCCTGTCGATGGTAAGGCGGTTAACGGGTTGGTTCAACAGCCCAATTCTCTGTGTGAAGAATTGTTGGGCAGGGATATGGTTGAAGGTGGTGGTGCGAGAGGTCAGGGTATACTACTTACTGAGCTAAAAAATCATTATGCGACTCTGGAATTGAACGAAAATTCCTCCGAGCTAGCTAAGGTAATAAAATCTAGAAATTATATAATGATACTATTTGGAACCTTTTTATTTCCCAAAAGTACGAGAAATAGTGTAAATTTTATGTATTTAAATTTACTTAGAGACTTCGAAAAAACTAGAAAGTATAGTTGGGGTTCTGCTGTTTTAGCCCATTTATACAGTTCCTTGTGTAAAAATGCAATCAAGGAAAAATGTACATTCTATGGCTGCTCTTTTTTACTTCAAGCCTGGGGTTGGTGGAGGATGGAGTCCCTAAACCCCGTCAACAACAACACATTCATTTTCCCATATGCAACAAAGTAAGTCATCAAGTTATATCATTTATTACTATTTATTTCTTCACCAAATATATGATAAAAATAAAATATTTTTCAATTCCTTTAGGTATTGCGTGAGGGGTATGGATTACGGCAAGAATCCAAGATTCAATGTCGCACTATACCGTAATCTATTGGACCACCTTGGCCTGGATGATGTACGTCGTACCTTTCAACTTTTCTACTTTTAAATTATTTTTTTATTACGTTTTCATTAACCTTATTTAATTTTATCCGCAGTTTATCTGGAGATCATATTTGGGTTTGGACCATGAACCAAACCCTGAGGATGCAGTAATTTGGAGCGTAAAGACTATAATCATACGATTCAATGTTGTGGAGATGCACCACAGCGACCGTGTCAAGATGCAGTTTGGAATCCATCAAGAGATACCCAGCGATCTGACTTGTTTGTCCCCGTGGCATCTCAAAAGGGTCGACGCCCAATTGGGTCTTACCAACTGGAAAGACTTTGCTCCAGAATGGTGTAAGATGTGGCAGAGGCGTCACCGACATGTCTTGCAATTCCCAATTTTCCTCAACCATGGTAATATGCGACACACAGATCAGTATTTATCTTGGTACAGATCGGTTAGTACCCCTGAAATGCACGTGTCTCATCCAAGGTATTTGGTTGACCTACGAACACAATGGGCACAACCCTTATTTCCCCAACAACAAACCCAACACACATCAACCTCCCACCAATCTCCCCGACGAAACAGAACCACAAACACCCAACCACAATCACCACCATAATACAATTACACCCACATGCCCCACAACCAACCACAATCACCACCTCAGTACCAATACCCCCATATGCCTCACATCCAACCATAATTTCAATCACAATAGCAACACACCCGCATACCCCACACACAATTTCAGTCTTCTGCATATCCCAATATGAGCCCCTCAACATCCAACCTTAGCCCTGATCTGAGATTGTCCGAAGATTATGAACCAACCGACCCAACTTACCATCAACCACAACATCACCAAACCACCCAACATCCTCAATACCAAACACCCCAAGATCTATTTCCTTTCTATCCCCCGTACTCAGACGACCAGTGCTACAGACCAACCATGGAACCCCACCCACCACCAACACGACCAAACTTTGAGGGTATGGGTAACCGACTGTACCAAAGTGGATCTTCTAGATATGGAGATCTGACTGATTTCATGGATCCCGGACGCATTGACTTCGTTGGGCCATCGATCCTGCCACAGTAGGAAGCACGACGAAACCCATCACGGGAAAGACGAGGACGGGGATGCGGAACCGGGGGTCATTACCGGGTTCCTGGGGACCACTGATTAATCTGTATTTTTTTTATGTAATTGTTATGTGTGTAATCATATTTTGTAAATAAAAAGTCTATTTTGTTGATCCTATATCGAATACGTAACGCACCGCATTTAAAATAAAAAACGTGAAAATTTGTCTTCCAATTGCACTAAGGCGCCATCTCACTTGGCTTAGGGCAAGCCTTTAACACCTATGTGCCAAGTGAGATGACGCCTCCCCTTAAAAATAAGGTGTATGCGCCAAGTGGGATGACTCCTCCCTTGGGGAGTTTTCTGAAACATGATTATTTGCGATTTTTTTTTAATACATGGTTATTCCAAAAAAAAAAAATTTATAAATATTATATTTATTTTTATAAATATTATAATATATTTTTAAATATAATATATATTTAAATTATATAAAATAATACTCAGATATTTAAAAAATACATTTGCTTAAAATTAAAATCCTTCAGTTTTGAATTAATGGCATGAACAAATCTGCTACTCAAGTTTCAATTTTGAAAAAAATAAAAACAATATACTTAAGTTTCACACTAAATTTTTCACACCAAAAACAAGTGTTTTATAAAAGAATTTCACACTAAACTTATTGAATTCTTGTGCAAATGGGCTACTCTTCTAAAGAAATTGCATGTTGGGCCCAAATATATCTTTTTAGAGTTTGTAATATTTAATTTCTAAGTAAGAGTAAATATTTATAAAATAAAATAATTAAAATATTTCAAAAACATTTAATTATTAAAAAAAAATTACGAAAATAAAAATTTGAATTTTAAATATTTTTAATGATGTGGCAATAATAAAAAATGTCGAAACCATAAAATGATTTTTTTAAAAATAAAAACAAAAAAATTGTTAAAATAAACATAAATGGTTTTTATTTTTATCAAACATTCTAGACCTAAAATTTGATCGAATCTGTAACCAAAAAGAAAATAGACCCAATCTTTCAAAAAATAAAACTCGTGCTTAGCACATTACCACCATTCAACTTTGGCGTGTGCACGTCACAGCCATAATTGACTTTCAATATTTTTATTTCCGATTTTTTTTCCATCTTAAACTCAAAAAAATAAAATAAAATAATAAACACATTAATCTTCAATTTTTCATATAGAGTTAGCATCTCTCTCACCTACCACATTATAATCTCATTCGTTGCTTTCATTCTTCACTTTCTCTCTCCTCACTTTCTCTCTCTAACATTGGCGTGTGCCTCTTGCAATCTCCGAAAGGTATCTATCTCTATTTTATTTTTTTTGTTGAATTTCGCTATTTCTTATAGCTTGTTCATTCTCTGTGTCTAGATCGGTAGTTTCAATTTCTTCATTTCGGTGATTTTTCTTTTTCACGACCCTTTTTTTTTTTGTGATAATTTGGTTTTTGTTTTGAGATTTGAGATACTGTTGTTGGAAAGGTTCGATTTTTTTGTTTATTTTGAACTTGGTGGGTAAATTGGTGAATTGGGTTTTGGTATGCATATGAATTGTTTGATAATTGGTTGAATGTAGAAAAAATTTTGGTGTTGGCCTTTGAGTTGACTTTTAGGGATGCAAAATATTAGACATGTCAGAAGCTCTAATAGTGTGGATTAATGGAATTTGGGAAGTGGTGATGTTTAGCTTGCTTGAATCTGTAGTCACTAATTGATATTGAATTGTAGCCTTGTTGTTTTGATTAGAGATTTTCATTTTAATGTTGCAATATTGTATCATATTGGTTTAGTATTAGCTGTTAGGTATTTTATACCGATCTGAACTTCATGGGTTTGTGTGTATGTGTGCGCCCGCGAGGTAGCTCCACGATGAGTTTCTTTCTTATTTATGATTCCTTTTTTGCAGGTCTGTTAGATTTGAAGCAGAGGAATGGACTTCTTTACTCGAGATATAAATGAGGACTCTATCCTTAGGTGTCCATTCTTGAGGAACATTAACGAACCAACTAATTTCTCATTTGTTTCGCCTTTGACTTTTCCAATGCCTGTAAGTTCTCCTTTTGGCTGACATAATGCTCATTTCATCCTTTTTCTTTATTCTGCATGTATGGATTTTTCTGCCACCAAGAAGTTGTTTGAGATTGACGCTTGTCGTACCTTGCTCTTACTTCTTGGATTTATGTACCGAGTCTGACCAAAATGCAGCTATTGTAAATTAAAGCGTCTGTTCAGGGAAACAAACTGTGTTTTTATAGAATTATATCTCCATGTGCTATCTAACTTGCTACGACATTATGCTGCAAACTCATCTTTTTTTACTTGTTCTGTTATTAATCTCAAATAGAAACTGATATACTTACGAAATATCTCTTACACAGGTGCGTGCGGCTAAAGGTCCAATTTTTGAAGATGGTCCCAATTTTGATTTGGCATTTAGGCTTTTCCATGGGAGCGATGGTGTAGTTCCCTTATCCGAGAGATCTTTTCAGCGTTTGGACAAAATGAAGCCCGAACTTCCAAAATCCCAATTCAATCCTTTGGCTGCAAAGGCGGCAACTATTAGTCTGTCATCATTTGGATTTGGCGGACCTTTCGGTTTTGACTCATTTAATGAGAAGTGGAAGAAACAGAATAAAAAATCCAACTCCTCAAAAAAAGAACCTTCTTCAAAGGTATGCAATACATTCATTCTGCTTTTTTTGCCACTGCCAACTCATTTTCAGTGAAAGAGTTCTCTAGTGAAGATTTTAAATTCATAACTAGCATGTTTAAGCCTAGTAATTTAATTTTTTATTTTCCCCTTTCTAGCTGGGGTGAAGGAAATTAAAAGTAAGAGATTTCTTAGTTAAGACTTAGGAGACACACTAAGATATTTGTTTTAAAACATGTAGTACAATTTTCGGTCATGATTTACAATACCTTTTCAGTGTCTCTAATGTGTGTATTTAACTGATATTCAGGATGGTTCAAATCATGAGGCAGGCAATGACTGGCTACAAAATGGGAACTGTCCAATTGCAAAGTCATATCAGGCTGTCAGCAAAGTCCTTCCACTTGTAGCAAAGGTTATTCAGCCTCCTGCCGGCATGCATTACAAGTGCCCACAGGTAATAATTGCGGCTCGGGCGGCTATATCACGCACCGCATTTGCAAAGAATCTCCGCTCTCAGGGCTTGCCAACAAAAGTTCTTGTGATTGGGATGATGGGGATGGCAGCTAATGTCCCCTTAGGTGTATGGAGAGAACATACAAAGAAATTTTCGCCATCATGGTTTGCAGCTGTCCACGCAGCTGTTCCTTTCATAGCAATGCTTAGGAAGTCTGTCTTGATGCCTAAATCAGCCATGGCATTTACTATTGCAGCATCGATATTGGGCCAGGTAATCGGGTCAAGAGCAGAGAGGTACCGTCTGAAGGCAGTTGCTGCAAAAAAGTTGTCTGCAATAGAAGCTTCTGATGTTGGTCCAGTTAAGTTACCTGCGGTTAAATCCAAAGACAGGCACTGTGGCGATGAGGCTATGAAGTGGAATCCAGCTTCCCTTCAGCTGGCAGGAACTTCATCAACTGATGTATTTTGTTGATGGCTCATTTGTGATCTGTGTTCTGCTGTATAATTGTCTATGTACTTTTGAGTGTGTAATTTGCAACTCCTATTTCACACCGAGTGCCTCAGTTGGCAAATTGTTTTTTATTTACTTTTTCTTTTATGCTCAAGTGATAATGCCAAGACATTTAAATAATAAGTAAATAAAAGGCCAATACAAAACTATTGTATTGGCTTTGTTTGAGTGATTCATTACTTCATACTCAAGGCGTATACTATTCTGCAGTAGCAAGAGAGAAAGAATGTGAATGTGGCTGAACATTTTAAAATGCTGTATTTTGTGTAGTTATTATGATTCAAATAAAGTTTTTCCCTCATTCTCAGTTATGGTGTTAATTTACAGACAAATTAATTTATCTACTTGATCACTTCCCACTAACTGTTTATTGAACAGTGAAGGTAGTTAGTTAATTATTTGTTAAGCATATATAAATATGTAGTAGTTAATAACATTTCTCTTTATTAAACTGGTTTGTTGATACGTTTGTGTATGAGAATAATTTGGATTTGAAGGTTATAAATTATAAATAGTATCCGAAATTAAATGTTTAGATCAAAAGATTTAGTAAATAAAGTTGGTTCAGAAAACCAATATGATTTTTAAGAATTTTCAGATGAGATATGATATATGTATGAAAGTGCAACAACCAAACTGGTAGTTTTTTTTTTTTTTTTTGTGATAAGATGTTTAACTATTTAATATAAATCAAATAAAAAACTAAAGTTTAAAACAAATGGGATCTTACCGGATCAGAATTAGACCGTCACAGTTGGCTCGAGATGGCTGTGGTCCTTGCATGGGAAGGATCAGATTCTAAGGACCGGGTTAGGGAGATGGAATCGGAGAAGGCGGCCTTTGCGGCCAACTCACAAGTTAAAGGCGGCCCTCGAGCGGTCCGAGGAGATGTTCCGTGAACAGGCCGACTTACTGTCAGGGGAGAAGGAGAAGGCCGAGAAGGCTTTTGAGGAGAGGGATTGCCTCCAACTCGACAAGGAACGGCTGGAGAGCGACAACCAACGGTTGTCCAAGGATATTGAGGAGCTGAAAGCTGCTATGCTTCCTGCTGATGACGAGCCAAAGGAGATAGCTTCTTTACGCACACGCTCAGATTTGGTTGCTCGCATCCACCTCCTCGAGTCAGATTGCATTGGTGCCTTAGCCGATGGGTTTGAGACTGCGGTGAGTCAGCTGTCCATGCTAAATCCAGGCCTAAACACTGAGGGAGTCAGATTTCTGTCTCAGATTATTGACGGCCAAGTTGTGCCTCCTCCCGATTCTCCTGATGTGGACGCCAGTAATCCGGGGGATGCTTAACATCTAGTTATTGTTTGGGTCTGCGTACCCGTATATTGATTTTTATTTGTTTTGGGGGCCTGCGTGCCCGTGTTCGTTTTTGGGGCCTGCGTGCCCGTGCTTATTCTTGATTTCTTTTGGCCGTCGTGCCATGGATTGTAAATTTTAACATCGTCGGCCTTCTTGGTCGGTTCACCATTAATCCGTTTTATGCGTGTTTTTTCGATGTATGTTTGTTTTGCAATTATCTGCTCGTATCTAGGCGTATGCTTGGCTGTTATTTTCATAATGAACAATTTGATAAGGTTTTGTGCTCGAGCGGAGATATCCTTTCGACTCCTTTGATGGTTTGACACACTTCGAAATACGTCGATTATACGGAGTGGAGCCCGCGTGTCGGACGTATGACCCAGATCGGGGTCCTACGCTCGCGGCGTGAACTGCCCATCGCGAGCTGGGTGTTCTGCCTTGTGGGTACTTCGACAGTGGAGCTCGATCGAGGTGTCCCTGCCGGGCATTGGTGTTCGGCTTATTAGGTGAATGAAGGTATGCCACTCGGTGGTTGGTAGGTTGGGTCCGTACCTTGACTCGCCTACATGGTCGAGACTTTCCCCTCGTTGGCTAAGGGTGAATGTCCGACGGCAAAAGTCCACAGTGGTTGAGGGCTTTAGCTATAGTACTGTTTCAGCTTAGCAGCATTCCAGGGTCGTGGTAATTGTTCACCGTTTAACTGCTCGAGGTAATACGCTCTGGTGCCTGTAGCGCCTTGAACGCGGTAGGGTCCTTCCCAGTTTGCGGCCAATTTCCCTTCGCGGGAGTCTTTCTGGTTTCTTTGCAAGACTAGGCTGCCGATCTGGAACTCGCGTCTGATGACCTTGTTATCGTGACGCAGGGCTACTCATTATTTTAGAGCGGCCTCGCACAGGGCTGCCCCCGATCGAATTTCCTCGACCAAGTCGAGTTCATCCCTAAGGGATTCGTCGTTCATTTCTTCGTCAAGAGGCATCTCTTTCCGCCTGGAGGGTTCCTTGATCTCTACGGGGATGACGGCCTCGGTGCCGTATGTTAGTCAAAAAGGGGTCTCGCCTGTCGTCGAATGGGGTGTGGTGCGATAAGCCCATAGGACGCTATGTAGTTCCTCGACCCACCCCATTTTTGCTTCGCCTAGTCGGCGCTTAAGTCCTCACAGGATGACCCTGTTGGCGGCCTCGGCTTTCCCGCTGGTTTGGGGATGCTCGACTGAGATGAAATTTTGTTTGATCCCGAGTTTGGCAATAAAGCTTCGAAAGCCTTGGTCGGTGAATTGGGTACCGTTGTCTGTGATCAGCGCCTTCAGGATTCCGAATCGGGAGAGGATGTTTCATTTGTAGAAGCGGAGGATGTTGTGGGAGGTGAGTTTTGCAAGGGCCTCGTCCTCTATCCATTTCGTAAAGTAATCCACGACCACAATAAGGAACTTGTTTTGGTACGTCCCCTGTACGAATGGTCCGAGGATATCCATCCCCCGCCAGGCAAATGGCCACGGGGATGTCAGTATGTTCAGCTCGTGCGGGGGAGCGAGATGCATGTCGGCGTGTTTCTGGCACTTGTCGCTTTTCTTGACATGGTCTTTGGCGTCCTGTTGCATCATCGGCCAGTAGTACCCTGCTCGCAAAGCCTTCCTTGCTAGGGACTTGCTGCCCATGTGCTGGGCATTAATACCCTCGTGAATTTCCCGTAGTACCTCGGGGGATATGGATTCGTCGATGCACTTTAAGAGTGGGATGGAAAATCCCCTACGATACAGTTTGTGCTCGATCACCACGTAGGAACATGCTCGTCGTTTAGTCGCGGTCGCCTCTATTCGGTCTGAAGGGAGCTCGCCCTTCGTTAGGAAGTTGAACACCGGGGTCATCCAGCACGAAGCGACTCCGATGGCATTCACCTCGAGAGGGGTCGAGGTTTTTTCGATGCTTTGGCGGGATAGGGATTCTTGTATGACAGATTTGTTCCCGCCCTTCTTTCTTGTGCTTGCGAGCTTCGAAAGTATATCGGCCCTTGTGTTTTGCTCGCGCAGGACGTGCAATATTTCTGCTCGGTCGAACTTCTTCATGTATTCTCTGACTAGGTTCAGGTATTCAATGAGGCTGTTGTTTTTAGCCTGGTAACTCCCTTGGACTTGGGAAGCAATGAGTTGAGAGTCGGTGAAAATTTGTACTTCACGTGCCCCTAGGTCCTCGGCTAGCCTCAGTCCCGCGAGCAGGGCCTCGTATTCTGCTTGGTTGTTTGAAGTTGGAAAGGAGAGGGTGAGCGAGTTCTCGATCACCACACCTTCCTCGTTTTCTAGGAGGATCCCCGCGCCGCTTCCGGATGAGCTGGACACTCCATCAACGAAGATGGTCCACTTGTGCTCTTTCCCTGTAGGGGGGTTGTGAGCGGTCATTTCTGCGACGAAATCGGCCAGAGCTTGTGCCTTTAGGGATTTCCTGCTCTCGTATTGAATGTCGAACTCAGAGAGTTCCAAGGACCACTTCAACATTCGACCTGCCATGTCTGGTCGACCTAAGATTTGTTTCACTGGCTGGTCAGTTCGTACTATGATCGTGTGCGCGAGGAAATAGTGTATGAGTCTCCTCGCCCTGTTGACGAGGGCTAGAGCTACTTTCTCTATCTGTTGGTATCTGACCTCGGGCCCTTGCAGTGCTTTGCTCGTGAAATAGACGGGCTTTTGTCCGTCGGATGGCTTCGATCGAGACGGCCAAGTACAAGAACAAAGGTTCCCCGTCGACGGGTCGTGATAACACGGGCGGTTGGGATAGGCTTTGTTTGAGATGGAGCAACGCCTGCTCACATTCCTCGGTCCATTCGAAGGCTGCTTCTTTGCGAAGGAGCTTGAAGAAGGGGAGGGCGTGCTGAGCGGATCTTGCCACGAAACGGGATAACGAGGTAAGCATGCCGTTTATGACTTGTATGGATTTTTTTCGATGTGGGCGTGGGGAGGTCGAAGAAAGCCCGATATTTGTCGGGGTTGGCTTCGATTCCTCGTTCCGTCAGGTAGAAGCTGAGGAATTTTCCCGCCTTGACCCCGAATGTGCACTTCTCGGGGTTAAATCTCATCTTGCATCGCCTTGCTTGAGCAAAGACTTCTTTGAGGTGAGCGGCATGGTCGGTGTCTGCTCAGGATTTGACGATCATGTCGTCTATGTACACCTCGAGCATGTCCCCGATTTGGTTGTGGAATACTTTGTTCATCATACGTTGGTATGTCGCTCCTGCGTTTTTTAGACCAAAGGGCATTACATTGTAGTAATAATTGCCCGAGCTGGTCATGAAAGCAGTGCAATGCTTGTCACTTACGGCCATTGGGATTTAGTTATAGCCTGAATAGGCATCCATAAACGACAATATTTTATAACCGACTGAGTTGTCGACCAGCATATCTATGTTGGGTAAAGGAAATGCATCTTTCGGGCACGCCCGATTGAGATCAGTATAATCAACACACATTCGCCACTTTCCATTATTCTTTTTGACTAGTAAAACATTTGACAACCAGGTTGAATACCGGGCTTCAGAAATAAAATTTGCCTCTAGGAGGTCTTTTACAGCTTTTTCAGCAGCCTATGTTTTCTCCGGAGACTGCCTACGCCTACGTTGTACTACTGCCTTAGCGGCTGGATCTATGGCGAGGCGGTGACAGGCGA